TGGCGTCAAGTCAGATCTGATTCAGTGTCGTGTGGGTTGAGTAGAACCCCAAGGGTTTCCAAGGCTGAAGGTCTCTACACAGCAGACGGCTTCATCTTCCTGCTGAGGGGCTGGTGGGTTCGAACCACTGATCTTTTGGTAGCAGCCCAGTGCTTTAACCCCTGCACCAGGACTGTACCTTTTCTTACTATCTTTCACCCTTTCACCTGATGCTGCACATAACTCTTCCAAGTCTCCCAATCAAAAAAGTGTTCCAATCAAAAAGCACCACAGCCAGCCTTCCCTCCCGCCCCAGAAACCTCCCCCCTTCTTACCTCCCCGCATCCTCAGGCCACGGCTACCCCCGCTCTTCCCACCCTCCCCAGAGACCCCCTTCTCACCTCTGTCTTCAGTCCGTGGCTTACCTTTCGTCTCTTCTTGGAAGAGGTTATTCTGCTGTCATCTCAGGCCATCACTGCTTATCCCTGTGCTCTTTCTCTTCTCTCACCAGCTAGTGTGGCTCTGAGCATCACAGCTAATGAGATCGTGACCTCCTGACCACTAGTCCCCTCTGTTGGTGTCTTCGTCTCTAATCTGCACCTCTGTCCACTGCCCACGGTCATGGTCACGCCATAGCCTGCTTATCTGCTGATAGTCTGGAACCATGGGGGGGGGGGTGTTGACATGGACACTACAGTGAGCGTTGTTTCTGTCCTTTTCCACGTGGATGACACTTCACTGTCCCTCATACTATGAGTCCAGAGTCAGGTTGTACATCCTCAGACCCACAGCTGTCAGGCTGACTGTGACTCACGTGTCCTGTAGGACAGAGGAGAGCTGCCCGGTGTTTTCCATGTACCATGTGGGCCCGAGATTTGAGGTGTAAATCAAAGAGGTTTAAGATTTGAAAGCTGCTCACCCGGGTGGGCTGTGAGTCCAAAGCTGGTCATGACTGGGGCCTGCCTGGCCTGGGAAATCCACATCCGCCCCCAGGGCCTGGTGACCCTGTGACCGCTGAACGTGAACACTGAACATTCTGGTGTATTGACATTAGAGTGGATTTGAGGGCCAGTGGCTGAAATACTAATATCAGTCTTTTCCTTTGAAATGTTGGTAGGTCATCCTGATACAGCAAGTTTAGAAATGGTCTGGCAGCATTAAACCAGAATATTTTAAATGCATTCTACCTTTGTATTGATTTCCTTTCCATAACCAAACCTTTTAATAGACTTGAAACTCACCCAAAAAAAAGTGAAGCAAGAAAAAAAAAAAATAATAGTTGCGATTTTAAGTAAGCATTCACTTATAAGTAGAAAGCATTCTTCCATCAGTTACCATAGTTACAGAGCAGCTTTGCCAGGGTTCTGGGGCAATGGGCTCCATCATTCTGAGCAAGACGACAGAGTGCTCTTGCCGGGAGAGGGAGAGGAGGAGAGTGGGTGGTGGGTCCCCACAGAAGGATGGAGCTTTACTAGAAGGGATTGTTTTATACTCTTTCGTAAGGTTCTTCATGATATCATAGCCACATTTGACTGTGAATGGAAATTTTCCTTCAGGTACGCTGTATTAACCAACTTAAGTCTCAAACTGCATTCACGTTTCAGCTGACTAACCTCTGTGGTTTACATTTGGGCAGGACTTTAAAACTTTAGCATTAAATAAAGCTTACTTGGAACGTTTCTCAAAGGAATATAAAGTCAGGCAAATAAAAATGGGGCCACATTTTGAAACGTATGGAAGTGAGGCAGGCACCTCCTGCGCTGGAGGGGAACAAGCCATCACTGTGACCGAGCTGGGGGCTGAAGTCCCAAATAGTGCGTAGCATGCTAACATCTCGTGGGCTTGTCGTAGATAGGGTTACATTTTACTGCAGATTTTGCCAGAAGGTTTTCTGTGGAGGGGGACAGGCTGTATTGGATTGAACATCCCCCAGTGAAGCGGGAGAATTCCCCGTGCAGTCTGGGAGAAGTGGAAGACGCAGAGACCAGATGAGGCCTCCCACTGGAAGGAGAGAGGTGGAGACGGGGAGGCCAGCAAGTTCAGACATGGAGGGTGGGAGTCCAGAGTGGTGGGCGGGCAGGTGAGGCCGAAAGAGAGGTTGCGACTCACTGGACGGTTGGCCCACATCTTGGGCCAAGTCGAGGGAGAAGAGGTGGAGGGGACCCTAAAGTCTGGGGTGGCTGTGATGTCTGCCCATCCTCCACTCGCACTTTTCCCATCACACGTGCCTTAAGATGGAGCCACCCTTGCTGTCCCCTGGGCTGGCCCTCCAGCCTCACCCCACCTCGAGCTCACTCCCTACTCCCTGCCCCTCCACAGTGCTTCTCTCCCCAGATGATAGTGAGCCTCTGGGACGCCCCTGCCTTGTACTTTGCGAGGGTCTGTGGAAAGCTCTGTTCCTGGCCCAGCACGCTCAGTTACCACAGACAGCGTTCATGACTACACTAGATGAAGCTGAGGGAGCAAACGCGGGACCCAACTTTTTGTTTAATGATTAATAGAAGATTTATTTAAGCAAGAATACATAGTCATCTCTGTCAGACTTAATATGAGATGTTAAATGGTCATTCCAATTTTCCTTCCTGGATAAGTTTTTTTTTCCTATCTCACTCGGTTTTGAAAACCTAATACCAGAAGAAGACGGGCCCAATGCCAAACACAGCTCGTATGAGGGAGAGCTTGGGAGGGGCCTGACATGGGACAGACATTCGCTGATCTGGCACAGGTCCAATGAGTTAAGGCAGGATCTCGGTTGTGGTTGTTGAGCTGAAGCAGACAGTTCCATTTAAGCCGGGATCTGATGGCCAGCTGCTCGGTTTGAGCCTGCCGGGTCTCCGGAGATATGTTGTATTCAGCTGGGTCAAGGGGAGCAGGTAGGGTGTTCAGGGGTGATGGCTTGTATTTGGGGAATGACATCTTGGCAACCAGTGCAGGACCCAACTTTTATTAAAGCACCTTCAGATTCACCTGGAACACTGAGTACTGTCATTGGAGAGTCATTGTTCCCAAGAACTAATCTTAGAAATGGACATACATCCGTGCTGGCGTGGTAAGAAGCTCCGCTGCAATCCCAAAGGCACACAGTTAGAATCCACCAGGATGGACAGGTTCCTACTGTGGGGTTTACTGCCTCTGACAGCCCTCTGGAGGGTCAGCTATGGTAGGTTCTCACTTGAATGCACAACAACAGTAACAACAGTCCCCACTAAGAGGGTCTGAGGGCTGGAGGGGGGAGGCGGATGCTGTTCTTTGCAGCATGGCCGCTTGGTGGGCAGCTCTCGACTTCCCACACGGAACTCCCTCACCTTCACCGGCCCACACCATCCCCACAGGCTTCTGCGTTTGGTCCAGCAGGCAGGGCCCTGCAGGGTGGGTCAGTGACCAGTCCTAGAAGGGAAGCCCCGAGTGGGCCTGTTTGCCCGCAGGCTGCTCACATACCCTCGGCCCATCTGAGAGACAGGCCTTCTAGGCCCTGCCCACTAAGTCTCCTGTCATATGCAGTTATTTTTAATCTCACCTTAAAAAATAAAGACAAAGAGGATGTGGGGGAAGGGGGATTAATCATGGGGTTGTACAATTTGATGGGTGGGGGAGAGAGGGAAATTGAAATAATTTGTTCTTGAAAACAGTGTATTCAAATTTTGTAAATAGTAGAAAAAGACAAAAGAAGAAAACCACTGCCATGTATTGTTGTCTTTGTGTGTTGTCTAATCAGAACTGACCCATAGCTGACCCTGCAGCGGCTTTTCAGAGGCAGCAAATCACACGGGAGGAGACTGCCCATCTGTTTCCCACAAAGCAGCTGGTGGATTTGAACCATGTACCTTTGGTTTAGCAGCGCAGTTCCTTATACTAGGCCACCAGAGCTCCCTCTAATAGACATGTATCAGAGGCCAACTTTTTGAGGAATTTTCTAGCGAAAGGGATCTTAGAAACAGGGACTGCCAAAACCCACCTCTTAGAAATGTGGAAGGTAGGTTCTTGAGGGAAGGCAGTGCCGGCCCACGCCTTGCGCCTGGGTTCCTTCCTGACATTTGTAGGGTCTGCGTGCTACTGGGGGAACAAGTGCAGCTGTCCCCCCAACATGCCCGTGGCCCCAGTTTTGACTACATTTCCCCATGTCTTCATTTTTAATGTTGTTCTTCTCACACGAATCCTTACAATTCCTTTCTGGAAACAAGACCGAGGAGAAATCTATCAGATCCGCCTGAGAAGTTTCATCTCTTTATAACGACAGACTCCCTGCAGCTGGACAGCACCCGGCAGGAACATTTTGGGTGGCTTCCGTTTGTTCCCTGCCTTCCACCCAGCCTTTCCAGGCCAATTAGAGTTGCTATCGCAGAGCTAGGAGGCCGCTTGTCCAGCTGAGAAATCAGCATCAGTGCTGAACGTGGGGTGTCCTCAGTGAGCCCCTTTCTGGAGCATTTAGCACTGAGCAGTCCCGAGGGTGCCTTCGCCTGCAGTCTGTTGCTCCGGTGGTTGGAGCCCTGCTTTATAGTCAGAACTGCTGCTTCAGCTGATTTTTTTTCCCCCACCGAAAAGCTGAATAAAATACCGTAATGCCGTCTGTTACCTGCCCACTGACTTTAATGAATATTGGTGCATTTTAAAAGGCCATTGTAAAACTGCATCTTAAAGCGAGGTGCCCGTCAGGCCTGGGTCCAGCGGTTCTCCCATCCTTAAGGCGTCTCGCACCCGGCTGCGGGCACCTCACTGCCTGAGAAGGTTCAAGTGCAGTGCCGGGGAAGGGCTGCTTCAGGAAACATGCCCTTGACCACGCTGCCTCCCTGCTGTACAAACATCAGCAGCTTGACCATGTGGTGCCGTGGCCTAGTGGTGAGAAGCTACGCTGCAATCCCAAAGGTGAGCAGTTCGAATCCACCACCTGCTCCACAGGAGGATGGACATTCTACTTCCTTACAACTGACTGCCTCTGAAAACCTGCTGGAGGGTCAGCGAGAGGTGGATTCCACCTTGATGGTGCAAAACAACAAGATGACTGGTGTCTGTTTACCACGCAGGTGGATGTGGGAGTGGTGCACTTCACTCCCTTGATCCGACCCCAGATCGAGCAGCCGTTCAAGCTGGTGGAGAAGGTCGTGCTGAACGCGTTTCAGTTCAGGAGGAAATACTGCTACCGAGGGCTCAGGTAAGGACGCCAGCTGCCTCTCCGGGACGGTCTGTATCATGTCCCAAATCACTTCTAAGGACTCAAAACTTTGAAGGTCGGCTGAGTAGCACATTTGGCTTGCACCCAGCTGGTAACCAGAAGGTTGGTAGTTTGAACCCACCCACCAGCTCTCTGGAATAAACAGGACCTAGCGACCTGCTGAAAACTTAACACTCGGTGGGTCTCCTGAGTCACGAATCGTTAAGAATTTCTGTTGCTTGATTCTTGAAGTTGTCTGTGATCATTACTGCTCGTTCACATCCTGTGATGAACGGAGCTGGGCTACCTCTGAGGAAAGAGCTAAACCCTCCCTTCTCCTCAGATGCCATTTCTAGGTTGGTTTTTATCAGTCACCCTGAGGCTGCAACTGCACAGTGAACAGTGGCAGCCCTGGGGGTCGGATTCCTCACGCACACCCAGCCAGTCTCAGTAGGTGTTTCCAGTGCCTTCTCTGTCTCTGTTCAACTTCTTAATGAAGTTGGAGGAAGCAGATAGTACTTCCGAGCCTCTGCCCTGCTGTCACAGTCCTCATGTGGCCACTTCTGTCTCGTGGAGAGCGCCTGCTTCTGGTCCAAGACCCAGCACATCCAGAGCACCCTCCGGGTGGGGTGCAGGCACCACCAAGCCAACAGACAGAGGTCTGGAGCCGCTGTGCTGTGATGAGCTGAAGCGGCCACTCGGAATTCATGCTCGGTGACAATCTAGAGAACGTTCTGGTGCTGGTGGTCCTGTTGGGTCAGTGCCGTCTTAGAGTGACCCTCTGGATCCTGCAGCGTCCACATGGTCAGTGTTGGGGTTGAGTCCATGGTGGAGTCACTGTGTCAGTCTCTTTCACTGGGGCTCTCTATTTTGTTGACCTTCTTGCCCAAGCATGATGCGTTTCTCCATTGACTTGGCCGCCCACGTCCGGAGTGTGAGAGACAAAGTCTCACCCGCCTCGAGTCTGAGAAACATCTCACTGCACATGGTCCAAGACGGATTTGTTCATTCTTCTAGCAGACCACAACGTATTCCGTATTCTTTGTCAACGTTGTAATTCAGAGTCTTCACTTCTTTGGTCTTCCTTATTCATTATCCAGCTTTCACATGAGATGATTGAAAATGCCATGGCTTAGGTCAACCCTCTTTGCTTTTTAATGCATAAAGAGATATTTTGTAGTATATTTATTTGTTCGGTGTGATGTGGCATTTGATTTCTCAACTGCAGCTCTCAGGAGCCTTAACAATGAATCCAAGTAAAAGTAAATCCTTGACAGCCTCAATCTTTTCTTCTTTGATTTTGATGTTGACTGGTCAGCTTGTGAGGCTTGTTGGTTGGTTATGTTGAGGTGTAATTCATACTAAAGGCTGTACTCTGTCGTCTCGGTGAATGCTTCGAGTTCCCTTCACTTTCAGCAAGTTAGCTTTTGCCATCCACATAGGACAGGTGGGTAAGAGAGTTCCTCCAGTTCTGATGCTGTGTTCTTCTTCATGTAGTCCAGCTTCCAGGTTATTTGCTCAGCACACAGGTTGAATAAGACGAGTGAAAAGAGCTGGACAATAAATAAAAGACCTGACAATGAATAAGGCTGACAGAAGAACAACCAATGCCTCTGAGCTGTGGAGTTGGCGAAGAGTCATGAGCAGACCATGGCCTGCCAGAAGAACAAACATGTGTATCAGAGAAAGTTCTGCCCGGGTGCTCCTTGGAGGCCAGGATGCCGTAGCTTCGTCTTTCATATTTCAGACGTGTACTTAGGTGAGGCGATTCCTTGGAAAGCGACATCATACTTGAAAAGATGGAAGGTCCGTAAAAAAGAGGAAGACCCTCAAAGAGGTGGACTGACACAGTGACTGCAGCAATGGGCACTAGAGATTGTGAGGATAGAACAGAATAGGCGGGGGTTCGGATCTGTTGTTCAAAGAGTCGCTGTGGGTCATACTTGACCCAGTGACACCCAACAATGAAGAGACACAAAGTATGTATAATTTGCCTGATTTTACGATACATAGTATGTCCTTGTTCTGTTTAGAACAGCTACTTATTGGTCTTTGTACAAATGTGTCATGAGCAGTCTGTGTTCTGGAAGTCGCATTCTTTACAGTGTTATCCATAAGTTGTTACGATGCATACCTTTGCATATTTGGTAAAGCACAGGTAAACAGCTCCTAGTGCCCTGCACTTTCAGCCAAGATCCATCTGGCATCAGCAGTGATATCCCTTGTTCCGTGGCCTCTTCAGAATGCAGCTTAAATTTCTGGCAGTTCCCTGGGGATCTACTGTTGTAACCTTTTTTTGTTTTTAAATTATCCTCAGCAACATTTTACTTGTGTGGGATATTAATGATATTGTTAGATCCTTTTCACACTGCACTGGGACCACTGTTCTTTGGAATGGACACAAATACTGATCTCTTCCAACTCGCTGCATCGCTTGTGCAATGTGCCCCGAAGGCCTTGTGGGACCTGAAAGAAGAGAATCAAAGCCCAGAGTGCCTTTGCGACCCTTCAGTCAGTCAGTCTCAGAGACAGTTCAAACTATCTGACTCTCATATCATGTGTAATGCAGACCTTGAATTAATTATTCAAACAAAGGCTTCAAAATAGCTTCAAGAGGGGCCCAGGTTCCTATCTTTATGTCAGCTGCTTTGTAGCGTTGCTTTATAAAGGTCACATTGTTGGGATGACAAGTTCTGAAGACTGCTGATTTCAAATTGGATTCATTATTCCAGTAATACAGTACCAAAACGGTATTAATACCCACAAGAAGTATGTTGTTGTTGTTGATTGCCGTCGAGTCGAGCACGACTCATAGTGACCTTATGAACAAAATGCCTAAAGCCCCTCTACAACTTTTCCGGAGGCATGTTGTTTAAGAAGCAGATGCTGCTCCTGCTTCCAAACAAGAAGTATTACAACTTTAATATCAAAATCGAGGTAAGTCAGCTACATAGTTTAAAAGAATGCAGGTAAGCCGGTGTAGGGAGCTCTGTTGGTAAGAAGCTGTGCTGAAATCCCAAAGGCACAGAGTTTGAATCCACCAGCTGTTCTGTGGGAGAAAGATGGGAAATCTCGTGTGATTGACTGTCTCAGAAAACCCACTGAAGGGTCAGTTATGGGTCGGTTCCGGCTCGCTGGCACACAACAAGCAGCAGATGTTACCCTGAACATACCTTAACAATCAGAGCTATTTTAGCTTTGGGAACTCTATTCGCTCTGTGGACACAGGAGGGCACCTTGCAGGTGGGGCCGGCCCACATGGACTCAGGGTCATCGGTGGTGTCCTGGTGTGGCTGGAGGCTCCAGCACTGCTGCCCAGCGTCGGGAAGTCCTAACTGAGCCTTTGCAGATATGTGCGAGAAGGCAGCTTCATGACTCACAGAATTTCTTCAGATTTCTTTCTTTCCCGCCCCCCTCTCCCCCTCAGAATGTTATTCCCTGAAGCTCAGCGTGTGGAGAGCACTGAAAGACTGCTCCACCTGGCCGACGTGGACCCCACACTCCGGCCCTGCCACCTCTCCATGGCTCACTTTCAGAGACTCTGTGATGTATACCGGGAAATGTGTGAGGAAGACCCTCAACTCTTTGACTACAACTTCCGAGAAGAACTCAAGGGCTGTAGAAGCAAGATGGAGCAGGAGAAAAAGGGGGGTGAGGAGAGTTAGGGACACGTGCTGTTCTGTTAGTCAATAACATGTCACCCTGCTGGCTTGGTGCCTTGTGCACTCATCTTCTACAGAATGACAATAAAAATGCCAATGACCACGGAGGACTTCTTCTCTTTTTACTGTACAGGTTGGTAGAGAAAATAAATAGCATCAATTAAGATACAGTACAAGCCTTCTTTTAATATATATACTGCATAGATATGACACATTTAGTATAAACAGCATCTATTACAGCCTGGCGAAAATGAACTCTCTCCACAGTCTGCTCCTAGATCACATTAAAAATAACTTAAATCTGCTTTAAATAAAGCAAAAACTAACAGCACAAAGGGAATGCCCAGAGATTTGGGGAGGGGGGGGAGACTTAATAAAAAAGCTATTAATTGGAGCTTCTGCACCTCACCTTTCCCACATAACTTAAAATAGAGTGCATTTGGATTGTACGGATTTGAAAGCATTTTGAGGCCTCGTCAAAAGGGCTAGAAACAAAGTCATTTACAAATCCTGACCGCTTGTCATCTAGTTGTCTGATCTACAATAAATTAAAATAACTTAAGTCTTTACAGCTCTCGTGGGACGGTGCGCACTGCACAATCCCACAGAGGATCCCTTGTCCTGAAGGTGCATGTCGCCGGCAGCCCCCGAGGACAGTGGGGCAGTGGGGCAGCGGGGCCGCGTATGCACAGACTGCCACGGATGGACTGTGACAGCTATGACTTCCCGTAGTTGTCTGCTTCATAAAAGCACTCCTCGTTGTCCACCGACGTCAGGCTCTGGACACTGAACTCCCGCTCCAGGACAGAATTTAAATCCGTGTTGTTTGCGCTTTCCAAAGACTGGCTGTCCAGGGACTGGTGATGGACCTGGGATTTCAGCAGGGTGCCCCTGGCCCTCTTGGTACTGTTTGCTTTCCGCTTAATGGGGCAGAAATGGGCACGGACCAGCTTGGGGTGCTCCCCTCCCGGCTGGCCCTCCTGCACCCCCAGGCCAGCGTCGGGCTCCTCGGAGATTTTCAGTCTCTCGAACTGGATCTCGATGTCCTTGGTGGGGCTGCCGCTCTTCAGCACCGGCTGGTAGTCATCGTCTTCGTCACTGAGAATGTCGCTCTCCTTGACGAGACTGTCCGCAAACTCGGGCAGGCCCTTGACCGGCGACTCGCCCTTGGAGTCCTGGCGGCTCTCGGCCGTGTGGCAGCCGCTGCTGCCCAGGCTGCCCTCGTCCGAGTCCAGCGAGGTGCCCTTGCCCGTCTCGCCCGTCCACTCGCTGCTGGACGACTTCTTCAGCATTTTGAGGGATCTGGATGACGCTGTGGTCAGAAAAACATATTTCCCTTAAGATACAGAAACAGCTGTAAAATACAAACCATTGCTGCACATGGATTTCCACCCACGAGTAAATTTAAAAGGTCAAACTGACCAAGAAAAAAAGAGTAAGAAGTTATACATTTTATAAGACTAAAAGTAAGAAGGGAAAAGGATAATTTCAGAGAATCTTGATTAAAAGAGGGGGATGTAGAATTTCAAATTCTCATGCAATCCTGACTTTCCCGAGCTCCTGAAGCTCAATAAAGCCCCCCATCCCCAAAACCTGCCCAGAAGAAATCTCTAACTATTAAAGCAAAACCCTTCCCTGAGTCCATCTTTATGCCAAACAATAGTCTGATGTTATTCGGTCCCATCAAGTTGGGTGCATCACAGCAGCACGTGAACAGACACAGCTCTGCCTCAGCCTGAAGCATCTCACCGCCGGGCTCGATCCTTTAGCCAGTGTTGCATCTACGGTGTTAACCCTTCTTGTTAAGGGTTTAGTGCCTGGCGCACTGTGTGCTCTTGTAGGTAATCGTACTGGCAACAGCAACTCAAACGTTAGGTGAGCAGCTTACTGGGCAGTGGATTTGCTTTAATCTGAGAAAAGATCCCCAGAGACAGACAGCACCCCTGAAACATGGCTGTACTGAACACACAAATGGTTGGGAATCGGTGGGCTGAGTGTTAATGTGTGTAAAAAAGTATATAAATTATTTTTATTTCATCCCCAA